AATTGTGCTGCCAAAAATATTCGGGTGTAGATGTCTTTGACACAAGATCAGAAAAATGGGCTCCATATATACTCACCATCAAATTGGTACTAACTGATTAACACTATGGTGCTCAAAGGGTGGTGGTGTTCACCAGGGATTCAGGGGTGGGAGAGATAGATCCACATCTGTGGGATGCGGTGAGCATTGTGGAGGGGAAGGGCATACCTTTAACCCTTGCTAGGGAGAGGCAAAGATATAAAATGTAACCAAAATGTTAAGAAAAAAGAAAAACAAACATTTCTTGGGTGTGGGGCAGGTGGGAGGGGGGAGGAAGGTACGGGTATATACATACATAGTGATTGTGATGTACACCGTCTGGGGGATGGACACGCTTGAAGCTCTGCCTCGAGAGGGGAGGGGAGGGCAATGGCAATGTATGTAACCTTAACGATTGTACCCCCATAATATTCTGAAATAAAAAAAGAATATTCACGTTCCAGTTCTTCACACTCTTTACCACTCTTTTGTCTTGCAAGCTCCCAATATCAATAAAGGGTGTAAAAGGTAAATGCCATATGGGGAAGCAATTGCTATGGGACTTTGGGTGGGAGATACAAAAGTAGGGGGAGAGAAAGCTATGCTTCAGTAGAAATGTAGACATTATGGAGGAGGAGGCATTTGAGTAGAGTCTTGAAAGATGATCAGGATTTCAAGAGATGAAAGAAGGAGTTCCTAGTGGAGGGACAAGTGTATCAGGACAAGTGTAAACAGGGCCCCAAAGCTAGAAAATATGGGTGATGCAGGTGTAGATGCAGAAAATTAAAACGAAGCTGTTTTGGAGCAGAAAAGGCTGATGGGAATGTTTCTCTGCTACTCTGCTGGACTTGCTGGACTTGACAATATGGGTGTAAAAAATAACTGTCATGAAGGGAAGGAGAATCTGAGATGGGCAGAGAAGATTGAGAATTATTTGAGACATGAGAATTATTTCAGACATGAAAGAGAAAAATGTGGACTTTCTGCCATATACATACACACAAAAAAGCATGTTTTTTTCCAGAATACAAAAATAATGCTCAGCTCAATGTAAAAAATTTAGAAAAAACAATAAAGCTAAATATGAAAATAAAAATCACAGGTAATCTCCATCACCAATGAGATTATGTGGATTATTTACATCAAATAGTACTAGCATTATTTATATGTAGATAAACAAGTACTACATATTTATGTATAGTATTATAGATTTGTATAAATATATATACATGTATATATTTACATATGTATGTATGTGTGTAGATAGATAGATAGATAGGTATAGACTGGTTATATTCTTTTTTTTACCTAACAATGAGCATTGCCCAATGCTATTAACTGTTGTTTTATATCATGCTTTTTAATGATTCTATAATATTTCACATATGTGTGTATTATAATTAATTGGTTTTTAATTTCTTTTCCAATTGTGTCTAATTTTTTATGATAATAAATATTGTGATGACATTTAATTGCATCCATGTAAATACATATCTTCGTTGATAAATCACAGTGGTATGCATAAATTATTTCCTTACGATACATTTCTCTTAAGTGGAATTGCTCAGTCACAGAGAAGGTGGCTTTTAAAAAGCCTATTCATTGTTATTACAACAACGTCTATAAAAGCTAAACTCTGCAGACTCCAGCATCAGATTCGGAGATCCATAGAATGCTAAAGTGGGGTGGAGTTTTGACATAATCAGTGATAATGCTTGTATTTTATATATGAAGAATTGAGTCTTTAAATTGAAATGAGGTTCTTAAGTTTATGTACCTGAAGGAGAATAAATAAAGACAATTTGAAGCACGCTTCTGGACAAAAATATTATGTTCGATATAGTGAATTGTATACTGGTTCCATCTGAAGAAGTTGGGTTAAAAGTGATCCTGTATATTTTTCAAGTCATAAATTTATGGCCAAAGTATTATCAGAACAAATCTATGCAGATGAATTAAAGTGAGGAAATTACTGGCTAGGAGTAGGTTACTAGACCATGTAATCTAAGTTAATATTTCCCAAGGCTTGTCTGAGCATGATAGTGCTCAGAGTTTCTAAAGAGTTCATGGACTTGCAGGGAGTAGAATGGTTGCCCCCAGGAGAGATTTTAACTGCTCTAATGTGATACCTCTTTTAAACTCTTCAGGTGTTCATAGCAGTTCGGTGCAGAATGTCCTTACTTTCACTTTAATTTGCATTGACACCATCCTTACCATTTATCAATAAAACAAGTAAAGACTATCCAGGAAGAAATAGCTTAGAACGCAGGGTGGGGGATAAGGGCATGTTCACTCAAATCCAGCATCTTGTTTCCAGTTATATGTTTAAGGTGATCCTTGTTCAATTTATATAAATGGAAAATAGAGGAAATTTCTTGAGATCTGATAAAAGGGGCTCCAAATTATTTCTAAATAAGAGGCATATGATTGACAGACCATCCAAATGGATAGCCAATTGTAATATATTATCTCATATTGTTATGTAGTATTTATGTATGAGAAACTCTACCATATACTCAAATGTTATTAAAGTCAACATTTATATGTAAAATCCATTTTGTGATGATTTGGCTGAATGATCAGAAAACCTTCATTTATATGCTTTATTTTGAAAAAGATATCATCATAGGTTTCTGTAATAATATTATAAAATGATGCAAGTGCATAATATCTGCACTATAGCAGAATGTAAAGACAGTAGGGAACACATAGTGAGTGAGAAGATGAGTTTTGGACATTGCTTCAACACTGCCTCATTGGGTACCTTCTGGCCAGTCTTGTCACCTCATTTTTCCCTCATTTTCTCAGTTAATCAGATGTAAGTAATTTATCTGACATGCATGTGTAACCAGAGTAATAAAGAGAGTTAAATAAAAGAAGCTTTCATTTGCTTTGATCTCCTTGGAAGAAAAGCATTTGATAAGGCTGAGGTATTGGAATGATTTTTAACTGACAGTTACGGGGTTCGGTTTTGGTTAAGGTCTGAGTGAGCCAAACTGATCAGTGATTCATGAATGAAGCTAAGACCAGCATTAAGTTCAGATTACACTCTGGCAGGACCTGTTTTTCTAGGTTACGACTCTTGAGACGTGTTCAAAATAGCTTTGTGATATTTATTTTGCAATTTATTTATCTGTAGATGCATGCACAAGTAATATGTGTGTTACACATCTATGTACACAATGCGCATACACAGATAGGTACAAATGTATGTGGTCTAGGTTTTGAATTATGTGCATAATTACATTTTAGAATCTATTAGGTTATGTAGAAATGAAACTCAGCCCCCAAATCTTAGTGGCTTACAAAAAGAACATGTCCAATGTGGATTGGGGGAGAGTTCTGCTCTTAGAATTTACTCTTGCCTGAGAAACCCAGACTGATGGAATAAGAGCCATATGGAACATTGTTAGTCACTGCAGCAGAGAGAGAAGAGAATGAAAAACCACACAGGGGTTTTAAAGTTGCTACAAGCAGTGAGACACCTCATTTCTATTCATATTTTATTGGCCAAAACAAGTTATGGCCATCCCACGTGTAGAAGGAGGCAAGCATAATCATCCACAAGTGTATTACGTCATAAGTATTGTCATTTTGGGATATGATCTAGTGTTCTGTAATTCTGAAACATCAGCTGCTCACTTGTTGGGAGTTCCATCTTCTCTCTTGCTGTCCTGTAATAAAGGTATACTGTGTTACTTTAAAATCTATCCTTCAATGAGAAAAAATAGTTTTCTCCGCACAAAGTCTTTGATCAATTCACTATGATAAAATATCATTCAGTTCTGTTGTCTGGAATCCTAACACCAAGACGACCCAAACTGTGGCCAGATTCCACTTTTCAAAGGAGTGAATTAACTTTAGTTGGCATAAGTTCAATTATTACAGAACATAATTTCTTCTTCCTAAATCCAAAATGCCTTAATGTACCAAATTTTACATTGGATTGGTTAAACAACTTACTCTACGTACCCAGGAGTACAAAATCTAATCCTATATGAAATGTAGAGGCTTATTTATAGGTGGACATCTTAAAAGATAGGACTCCAATACATTGATAAAATAAATGCACATGTATCTTCCTTTCGGTTTTGACTCATAAATTGCTATTCATATTGCTTTATGGTTGCTAACAAATTTTCTCATCCCAGAAAATTGAACTTTGTTGAAATAATCACTTCAGCCATTAAGTAAAAGTGACCTCATAACTGGTTCCACTTAAAAGTGGTTTTTAAGATACTTTTAAAATGTCAGATGCACAAAGCAGAGGATTTCTGGGACAAGTTAAAGTAAGAAAGTAAGCAGAAAATTTAAGTGGATGTGGTGGAATTTTCACCTCAAAAAACACATAGCTAGCTCTAAATTATCAACCAACATAGTATTAAAATTATTATTGAGCTGTAACTGCAGCTTTGCAATCAGTTTTAAAGCACAAAAGCCATAAAGCAAAATGCTCAGCATCAGAAAAAGAAAATTTATTTTAATATTTTTCTTTAATTAAGCAAAAATTAATATCCATGACAAAATTAATTAATCCAAATGTGCAATTTATTTGAATAGAATCAGTGATTTTAGGTCAATTATTTTTAAAAAGTTATATTAATGGAGATGTTAATGAATTATATGACTATCAGGGAAATTAAGTTATTTAGAATTAGAAGAAGGAAGTAAAACAATTGGAATGCATTGTTTACTCTGGTATAGTTAAATTACTAATGACAGTAGATACAGTTAGTTAACAGCATCCTTTCTAAGAAGGCATTATGTTTGCAATACCTATAATAATGAGGGAAATGGTAAAATGTATGTAGAAGATGGAAATAGATCAGTCAGGTTTACTTATAAAAAGGGTTTGTGTGACTGAAAACAGTAACATATTTTCTGCCTTCTGAAAAGAAGCGTGGTGTGAAATAAACAGGTGTGGTGTGGCTTTGTTATGGAGTAAAGACTCAGAATTGAGCAGAGCTCTGCTCTCTTCTAGGATGGGCTCCTTCTTTGCTCCCAGCCTCCCCGGCATCAATATCCTTCGACTCCACACATCCATGTACTTCCAGTGCTGGGCCGTCATGTGTTGCAACGTTCCTGAGGCCAGGGTCTTCAAAGCTTCCAGATCAAACAATTTCTACCTGGGCATGCTGCTGCTCATCCTCTTCCTGTCCACAATGCCTGTCTTGTACATGATCGTGTCCCTCCTGCCGTCCTTTGATTGTGGCCCCTTCAGGTCTCTTGCCTTTGAAATTTGACTAAGTCATGGTGTTTCATCAGGGGTGGAGGTGGGAATGGCTGCTCATTGCAGAAGCTCATTTTTTGTCAAACAGTGGCATTTTTGGTCAGTAGAAATGATATCTTTTGGGTATTCAGGCTCATTATGTACATGGAGATTCTTAGGCAAGTTCCATCTATTAGTATTTTCTCATTTTGGAATCACAAAAGAGAAAACAATTTATGCTGCTGCAGGCTCTGCCTGGGTGAATAAGGATGATGAATCCGAGCTGTTTCCATCTTGGGGGATAGCTAAGAGCAAGGTTTGATGACACCAGTCTGGATGTGAGAGTTTTCCCAAGGCTGCGCCATCACATCCGGATGTATCTAGCTATTGCTGCTTCTCCTGTGGACCACCACCTTACAAGGAAACACAAAGGAGAACGTCCCACACTTTACCCAGGAAATGGAATCATTGTAAATAATGAGTTACTGTAAAGAGGATCACACAATTTTTGATCCCAAATGCTACATGCTGGTAAAAAAAAAAATAAAGATGGTCCTCATATATATTCTCCCCAAGTATCATTCAAGTGACCAATCAGGAGTCAATAAGGCTCTTCGATCCAAGTTGGAGATGTGCTTTTCTGCAATTCTCTATGACAGCGTTCTTCCCATGGCACGCGTCAGAAAGCAAAGGCCCTAGGATCCGGAGGATGAGATTTCATTCCCTGAAGGGTTTTGGAAATGAATCTACTACAAGTCCCTCCAAGGATCTCTGCAGGATAAGTCACTGACCAGCATGCGTTTGAGCTGTTTCTCCTTTCCCGTGAAGGAAATGAGAATGTGCAAGGCCATGTGAATGACAAGCAGGATGCTCGAAGGACCACATATAATTTCCCCTTCGTGCCGTCAAACCCAAGTTATGTAATTAAAGTCAAAAGGTTCATTGCCCACAGGCTAAGTATAAAAGAGGCATTTTCAATCTAATAGTCTGAGTTATTGCTTTCCCAGAAAAGAAAGAAAATATTAAGCCAACTGATAAAGCAATTCGAGCTGGAGTTCTGTCATATCCAAGCAACTGATGTTGACAAGCTCTTTTCATTTCATTGTATGTGTGTGTATGTGTGAGTATGTGTGTGTGTTTCCAAGTGGGCTGAAATAAATAATGTGGACAAGGACATCTGGAGACTAAATATGACATTACTGTATTGAAGGAGACATTTGTCTTAATAAATCTCTAATAAAGCTCAGAATACAAAGTTCAAGAGATATGCAGTTGAAAGATTTTAATTAATTGCAAATTACCTCCACAACATAATATCCAGGATAAATTTTAGGTGTGCATTTACCTTTTTAATTGCAAGTTAATCTTTTTCAGTAAAATGTGGCAAAGGACCTTAGCTATCTATAACAGAAACCACACAGAGTAAACATGGAGGTGGGAGGTGGTTACACAGACACATTCAGATTTGAAACACCATTGTTAGACACAATGGCTGTACATGTTTAGCCTTTTAAGCCCTAATGCCTCTGGTTTTCCTTATATCATGCACTGAGGTACTCTAATTTTACTGAACAAAAAAAATGAGTTTGTATCTAAGGCATAGCATCTGATTTTGACCAAGAGTTTCCTAATAGGCAAACTTAAGCAAAATTACTACATATCTATCACTAGTTTGAAATTAACAAGTACTGGGAAAGGGATATCTCTATGCCATCTATAAAGTTTAGTTTCCTCTCAGTTTCTTCATTTTGGGGATAAAGAATGTTTACTTTGTTGATTTGTCTGGAATTAAAAGTTTGAAAGGTTTGTTCTGCCCTAGAAATGAGGTGAGAAAATATGCATTAGTAGGAGCGTCATGGCTTGCCATCATTCTGAATTCTGAGTCTGAGGTGGTTTGTCTCACCTGCCCGATGCAGGTTGTCTGACCCTATTTGGCTCTTGGGCGAGCAGCAAACTGGCAAATATAAAGTTGAAGTAGGTTAGTAGAGTCATCACAGTGACAGCCAGTTGCTCTCCAGTGGAGGAATGTTTTCAGATGGGGTGGCTACGGTACATTTAGCAAAGCAATGTGATGAGATATTCAAGTTTGTCCTGATTTTATAAGACCTGGCTAGAGAGGGTGAATTTTCCAAGAAATTATTCCAATAAACTAGTAAGTGAATTTCTCTTAAATAGTTGGACAATTTAAAATGTATTTCTTTAATATCCAGATGAAGACAATTCTAATTGTTCCATCACATTTCCTGATACTTGATGTTCCCCTATCTATGGCAATAATTCTGAACAATTTGTAGTTCTCCAGTTTCTTACACACCTCCCTGCTTGCATAATGGCAATTTTATTTTGCATGTATTTTTATCTCACTGCAAAGGTTACATGTGTTTATCCTAGAAAACCTGGAAATTGTAGACATATTTTTACACCAAAACAAACATTGCCCATAACTGCAAAGAACTGAAATAACAACTGTCAACATTTTGGCATTTCATATTCTGGTTTTCCTTTTATACATATTTTTTATAACTGAGATCTTACACTAGGTACAGGGTTTTTTTGTTGTTATTTGTTTGTTTGTTTTCTTTTCTGAGACAGAGTCTCATTCTGTTGCCCAGGCTAGAGTGCTGTGGCACCAGCCTAGCTCACAGCAACCTCAGACTCCTGGGCTCAGGTGATCCCACTGCCTCAGCCTCCCAAGTAGCTGGGACTACAGGCACACGCCACCATGCCCGGCTAACTTTTTCTATATATTTTACGTTGTCCAGCTAATTTCTTTCAATTTTTAAGTAGAAATGGGGTCTTGCTCTTGCTCAGGCTGGTCTCGAATTCCTGAGCTCAAAAGATCCTCCCACCTCGGCCTCCCAGAGTGCTAGGATTACAGGCCTGAGCCACTGCACCTGGCCTATGTACAGGTTTTTATAACGCTTTAAAAGTCTAGGGAGAGGAAATGATATAAATTGTAACCAAAATGTTTGTACCCTCATAATACCCTGAAATGAAAAAAAAAAAAAGTTAACATTATATTATGACACTACTTTTGCAATTATATTTTATGTGCCTGAGTTTTTTTGTTTGTTCGTTTGGTTAGTTGGGTTTTGTTGTTGTTGTTTGTTTTGAGACAGGGACTCCTCTGTTGCCTGGGATAGAAGTGCAGTAGTGTCATCATAGCTCACTGCAACCTCAAACTCTGGGCTCCAGTCATATTCCTGCCTCAGCCTTCCGAGTAGCTGGGACTACAGGCGAGTGCCACCACACCCAGATAATTTTTGTATTAATAATTTTTGTAGAAATAGAATCTCACTCTTGCTCAGGATGGTCTCAAACTGCTGAACTCAAGGGGTCCTCCTGCCTCAACCTCCCAAAGTGCTAGGATTACAGGATTGAGCCACCACACCCAGCTGCTGTATCTGCTTTTCTTAATAGTTTAGCTGACTTCTAGAAACTGGCGACAGAGTGTTTTCAAGTTTCTGAGTCCAGGACAAAGGAACACACTGGTTGATAATTTTAATTATTCATAATTAATGAATAATGATTCATTGTGCACCAAGCACTAGAGGAGATGTAGGGGTAAATCCATGTCCCAAGCATTGATTCTAGTCCTGTGGAGCTTACAGCCCAGCAGGGAAGACACCTCATAAACTCTCCTAATCTAGAGTGGATGCAACTTGGCCTACAGCAGATCTACGATGAAGTGCAGCTGTGTATCACTTGAATGTATAGTCACAGGTACCTGGAAAGGACTTGAAATGCACACTTTGGCTAACATGGCAGGAGAAGGGATTGCCAGGGATTTGTAGTTGCTTCTATCAATGTGGAAAACGTTGGGCGTGGAGAGGCGTGGGCTGGGGCCCCACGTGCTGCCCGGTTGCGTGTTGGAATGCTGCCAGGCCGGCCTGCTGCTGCCTGTTTCCGGCAGCTGCTGCTTGCGTGATCCTGATTGGGTAATTTTTGAGTCCCACTGTTGTTGATTGAATGTTAAAGCTTGTAGTTGATTGGATGCTTTTTGAGCCCTACTAAGGGTATAAAAGCAGGAGGAGAATAAGGAAGGGGGGGTCAGAAGATCAGAAGACACGAAGGGAACTGTAACACTTGCTGGGTTGAGCCTGCTGTGGAGGAATAAAGACTGTTCTCTGACTCTTCGTGTGCCACTTGGTTCTTTCCCCGGTCAAGAGCTGTAACACTAGCTATACACGTGCTGCAACACTATAATTTGTGTATAATTTGGAGATCTGGACTCCTTTTGTTGGTAAGAGGCCTAATCTGGAAAAGGTCCTCAAGAATCTCCCAGGACTCTAACAGCTTTGCATTGCTTCACACTGGATGATGACAAGAGTTTTGTGGGTTAGGATTCTTTCATAAAATTCAAGCCCCACCTGACTCTGACCACATTTTTCATCTATAACCTGAGATGCTAGAGAAGGAAGGATGGATTATCTTTCCTGGTCTTTTTACCCACCTCCTTCCCCTGTATTTCATATGGCTGGCGTGGAGGTGTTTGGATGATTACAATGAATTAATGATGAAGGAATGTTATTGGAATAAATTGATATAATCTTATATTTAAGTCTCTAAGCTTCATTCCCCCTTATGTATCACAGGTCTTGCAAATTTGTGTGTAGATTAATTTGTGAAGCAAAATTTACGTCTCTGTAGTCCAAAGACTCCTGAAAAAATATTTGGAATCATTCTTTGTGGAAAGATAGTATGAGTTAGATCAAGAGAAAAAAGACATCTGATCTGGGACTTGTGGGTCATCTTTATTTAGCAGTTGAAAATGTTTAAAGATTAAAAAACAAAGGCAAAACTGAACATTATATTAAATGTTACAGCAATCTTTATTCTGATGATACACACACTTTGGTGAAACCCAATCCAAAATCTTCTCAGAAAATTGCATCTTTTCATAGTAGAATCAACATGCATATACAGAAAAATAACTTGGCATATGCATATTATGATACAATTCTGGATATTCTATAGCAAATTAAGACATCTTGCTCTCATTTTTCTAGTTTATAGAAACACTACTTCTTACATTAATCGGTCTTAGCAGGGTGGCTAAGCTGGTCTTCATTAGAGCCCATCCAGGAGAAGAAACACTGAGGGAATGAGCTCATCAGTTGTGTGGTTACCTATTAACATCTCTGGTGGAAAGTGAGGTGGAAGCTATCGCGTGGAAAGAGATATTAGATTATCTGTGGATTTTATTCTGGTAGGTCATTTCTTGTGCTCATTTCCAAGGCTAATTAGAAACTGAGTACACTGTTTACTCAGCCCAAAGACAGCATTCTCCTGTAAGAATGGAGGCAGATATATGAGCTACTTACAAACTATATTTCAATCAAAATCTTAGAAATACAATTGTTTAAAATCTTCTCCTAAAGCTGTGATTAATTTCCTAACTGCTTTGACTATATGTCCATGCAGTTCCATTCCTCATATCTAATCCATATGTCGACAAAGTATGAGGTCAAAGTATCAGGAGTTGTAGCTTAAACATCAGATTCCTAAACTGAAATAGTACCTGTGCAGTATTTAAGGAAGATTTCTAGTTTTCTTGCTGTAACCATGGTTTTTCCATATGTTCTTAATAAACTCCACCCCCCGCCCCCCACACACACATTTTTTTTCCAGTGGCAAAAATAGAATGTTTGAAGTCATTGGAGAGACACTGGAGCATGATTTCCCAAGCTTGATGGTGAAGATCTTGATACAGGTTTCTAACCCCGGACTGGTCATTGTTGTCGTTTTGGTGATGGCGTATGTGCTTTCTCTACTCATAGAAAGGGCCTTTGTAATGTTCTTCCTGGCTTCTTTTAAGTTTCATCTTTTCCAGCTCTCTCTACTCATAGAAAGGGCCTTTGCAATGTTCTTCCTGGCTTCTTTTGTTTGATCAACCCTCACTGGAGGGTTGCGCTGTAACCTAACCAAATTCAATGCTGATTACATGGTGGTGAGAGGCTAAAATTCATGAACCATATTCTGATCCCATTGGATGTAATTCACAGCCAAATGCATCTGCCTTTGCTTCTTGTATTATAAGATTTGTTCCCAAGTAACCAAAATAATTATCTGTAAACAACTAAAGCAAGGGACCCATAAATGCTAAATACTAAATCTAATCAGCATAGTGAGCTTCCCTCCAAACCCGGCCCCCATTTCTGGTTCCATAAAACAGACGGCTGTGAATATACAGAAATAATGGGCCTCTAAGTTATTATTCACCTTGGGGGCCCTGTAGGCTATATTTTAGGACCAAGGTTTTAAAAGCTCTAAAAATAGCCCGGTCCTTGTTCTTAGACGGGTGTTGAAAACTGTGTGTCCGTGGTAATAGAATCAGAGGACAGGAGGGTCTTGGGAAGTTCCTATAGTTCCTTCAAAGTCAGAAGTGATTTCCAAAAGGAAACTTGGCAGGAGACTTTTGTTCCCATATAACTTTCATTGGCCTCTGACTCTTGGCTACCATGGATAAACCTATATTCTAAGCAAAAATATGTTCTTGCTGTGGAAGAGCCAAAAACAGTGTCCTGACCTTTTTTTTTTAACCCCGAGCACCTCCTGAACAGAAAGTCTGGAATTGGCAGGGCTCTCAGTCAAGGAGGACAAGTAGCAAACCAGCCCCAGGGATGCTTCAGGAACAGAGCTGATGCAGAGGGCTGGATTATTCTAAATAAGGGTCAAGCGAGGAAATCTCAGGTAGGAAACTCCCAGTGGTTTGCAGGAAAGGAGCTGGGATTCTGACCCCGTTATTGCTGCCATCACAGTCATTGTCACAGTCACAAGCTGTGTGAGGTAGTGAGGACCAGAGTTAGCCTCCTCATTTTACAAGTTAAGAAACTGACTTACAGAAGAGAAGTGATTTTCCCCGGCTGAGGGAGATAGTAAAATGGTAAGAGTCAGATTTAAAGTAGATCCTCTGACAGTAAATCTGAGCCTCACTCTTTCACACCACGGTGTCTTCTAGAGGGTGAGCTAATAACCTGTAGGGATAATTAGACAGTGAATCAGCTTACTATTGTATATTACAGACCCTTGATCAAGGGTGGTAGTGAGAATTCCACAGTAAATCTCTGGCGCAGATGTGCTAGTAAATGACCTGCCAAATGCAGTGTGTTGCACCAGATGGCCTTTGATTTTCTTTTCTTTTCCTTTTTTTTTGAGACAGAGTCTCACTTTGTTGCCCAGTCTAGAGTGCCGTGGCATCAGCCTAGCTCACAGCAACCTCAAACTCTTGGGCTCAAGAAATTCTACTGCCTTAGCCTCCCAAGTAGTGGGGAGGCATGTGCCACCATGCCAGGGTAATTTTTTCTATATATTTTTAGTTGGCCAATTAATTTATTTCTATCTTTAGTAGAGTTGGGGCCCTTGCTCAGGCTGGTCTCGAACTCCTGAGCTCAAATGATCCACCTGCCTTGGCCTCTCAGAGTGCTAGGATTATAGGTGTGAGCCACCACGCTCGGCCTCTGAAGTGATTTTCTTTCTCCACGTTTTCATGATACCTCGGCTTCTGAAAACAGGTTAATCAGTAGCCTGTGGCCTTTGAGAGTCAAGGCCCTTTAGTGATACAAATGAGATCTTGTTTAAAAAACACACACATAATATGAATGTCAGATTTAGTTACAATACTCTCCATTTATTGAGAGACACATTTGTTTTTAAGCAAAGAAGCAACCTGGTCACATTGCCACTATCTGAAGATTTAATAAACTGTTGCAAGAGTGTAGGAAAGGAACTAACACTGCCTTTGTGGTAGGCACTATCTATACATTGACTCCTTCAATTCCTACAACAACCTTGAGCAGCTGGCTTCATAAGTCCTGTCATTAATAGCACATTGAAGATCTGCCCCAAATCAAGTAACTAATAAGGGAATTCAAACTCATGTGTTCTATCCCAATTCCTATTCCCTCCACTCATTTGCACCACCAGACAGGGTCAGTTCAGGGTCAGTGGGAATGTCGGGAGGGTTGGAAGCCACTTGTCGGGGATGGTCTAGACTCAGGGTCGGCATACTTTTCTCAGAGGGCCAGATAGCGACATTTTAGGCCAAGAGGAAGAATTGAGACTCTTAGGTAAGTATTAATATAACCATTTAAAGATGTAAAAACCTTTCTTAGTTATGGGCTGTACCACACAGTCTGGGACCCAGGTGTGGCCGGGGCCCCAGTTTGGCAGCCCTTGATGGGGACAGCTGGGAGCAAAGCTGGCAGCCAGCGAGGGTCAAATAGGTGTCCTGAAAGGCCGGTGTTAGCTCTGAGGTTCTGGTTGAAAATTTCAATTTATTACTGATGTGATTTATAAAAACCTGAGCTCTCATTTTCTACTTTATGGGCCCAGGCAATTGGCTTGGCTTTTTTATTACCTTTAATTAGAGAATATTACAAGCATTTTGAATTTCCCCAATGGATCATACTAAATCAGCTTGGACCATTTTTTTAGTATCTGAGGAGAGTTCAGGTTAGTTTCCTGCAGGCAGTTCCATTGCTTCGGAGACTAGAAAATGATTTTTGACAAATAATTATTTATGGTGTATTTAAGGCAGAAAAACGTGATGAATAGAGATTTCCAGAATCAGAAATGACTTGTAAGATTTTTCAGTTCATCTTCCAAATCCAGGAACTGTTTAAGAAAATCTGTATAATACATGCACTTACACCTACACTTATGCGTACACACATATTGAGCACTTATTGCATGCCAGACAGTGCCCTGGATGCTTTTGTGTGTAGATTTTCCTTCAAACTCCTGTCACTCAGATAAGAGATAAACAAACCACGATAAATGCTATCAATAATTATGTTGCTAGCACCAGATGGCTCATAAGGGATATTATCTGGCATGTTGTGGAGTAGAGGAAATGTGTTCAATATCCAGTTATTTGCAACCAACTGTAAAATCAGTTACGTTTTTATTTTTACTGTGTTTTTTTCTTTGTTTGTTTGTTCATTTTGCCTTAAGTGAAGGTACGCATATTTGTGTTTGCAGAATTGTCTGGCTAGAATTTGCTCTTTCTAGAATGTAAATGTCATTTAAAATCCAAGAATATTCCTTAACAAAGTGTTTTCTTTTTGAGGGAGGAGAAATGCAAACAATAAATCCAATGGAAAAAAATCCATGTTAATGAATTATGCCTGTAAGGATTATATTCTTAGTCGTAAAGGCCAAAGGATGGGATTTAAGGCACAAAGTCATTTTCCTTTTTATTCCCTAAGCATCTGTAGATTTTTCAATTCTCGTGGATGCCATGCTATCAATTTAAAATGTTACTTTCAATCATAATCAAAATCAATGTTAGTATATTTCCAAGAAGAAGAAGCAGCTAATATTAGGCAGTGTGTACAGTGGACAGAGCCCCAGACTGTGGATTAGGCGTCTTGGGGCCCAACTTGCCAGTTCCATCCCTGTGTCACGCTGAGGATGCCTCTTTCCCTTTCTGGGCCTCAGTTTTTATCTACAAAATAAGAGATTTAGAGTAGAAAATACCTTAACATCCATTCCTAGGCTAACACTCCATGGTTTAGTAATGTACATTTAATGTAAATTTAAGAAGGAACTTGAAAAACTGAAAAATATCATAAATTTATTTTATATTTTTTAAATCAGTTTGACCACCAATTGTCTCAATGCTGCTGCCAAGGGCCAGAAGGCAGCAAATCTGAATCTAAAAAAAAAAGATGAAAATGATGGGATACAATTTATTTCATAGAAATATTGTCTTTATTAATGATAAGTAACAGAAAATACCAGGAAGTCTCATTTCTTCTCCTCTCCTGTTTTTTATTTTATTTTATTTTATTTTATTACCATGTAGCAAGCTTTGGAGAACAAAATGCAAAACAAGAAAATGGCAGCTGCACGAGCAGGTTGGAGAAGTTTGCAATTTTTATTTTTATACAAACATTGTGCTCTTCCTGTTTGTTTTTTCTCTAAATGGAGTATTGGGTGGTGATTGGCATTGTTGCCCTAAGCAAGTCATTCTACAATCCTTTCCCCTCCATCTTTTTAGCCCTTCTAAGGCATCAATCACATCCAACGGGGTTGGCTGCTTTCCAGTGGGAGGATAAAAATAGAAAGAAAAATTCAGTAATGTAAACTTAACAGTGATTTAAAAAAAGTGATCTTGAAAGTTGACAGATGAAGATGAAGACATCCATATAGTTATATACAAATAACAGATACAAATACAGCATCTCTCTTGCCCAGTTTGACTATCTTTATACTTGGAAGGATACGCTGAGAAGATCCTAAAGGGACCCTCTGAGAGCTTACCATCATTGATTGCCAGAAGCCTTTTCTAATCCATTAAACTTTCATTTTTTCTTTTTTAGCCTCCTTAATTTTTAAAATATTAGAATAAACCAGACTCCTTTTTGCTAAAATTAATAATATATTTTGAGTTCCCCATGGAAAAGTGATACATAAGGACCTTAATAAAAATCTTTGCCAACTTTTCCCTCATTCCTAACTTTAAAACTCTTAACATTAGCAGGACTTTTTCTCCCTTGTAAGTAATAAAAAATTAGAGCAAATTGGTTTAATTAAAAAAGAGAAATGCATTAGTCCACACAAATGCAGGGGAGTGGTGTGTGCATGTGGCTTCAGGCCACTTTCTACCCTAAGTGCAGGACATGGTCAGGTCTGAGCCCATTTCTCTGTGCTCTCTCTCAAGACCAACCTCCTTTCATGCCGGCTGACCATCATGGCAGCAGAAATGGATGCAGCAACTTTCAACGCCGTGTCCTTAGACTGTAATACCCAGAGGAAGAGAGAATGTGATTTTCAGTAGCTCCCTTAGAAGAGCTTGAGAACTTTTTGGAAAATTCCCCAGTATCTCCTCCTTTTAGATTCACCCCAAATGGGTCATGAGTCCATCTCTGAACCAGTCCCTGCCTGGGCGTAGCATCATCAATGCTACTTGGCTAAGAAGAATCTCCATTTTATTCCAAATTAAGGGTTTGTTTCTGCATTACCACTTTCCCCCCTACCCTGTTTCCTTAACACTTTTTTTTTTACTAGTTTCTCTTTTCCTTCCTTCCTTCCTTCCTTCCTTCCTTCCTTCCTTCTTTCTCCCTTCTTTCTTTCCTTTTCCTTTCCTTTCCTTTCCTTTCTTTCCTTCCTTTCTTTCTTTCCTTTCCTTTCCTTTCCTTCCTTTCCTTTCCTTTCTTCCTTTCCTTTCCTTTCCTTTCCTTTCCTTTCCTTTCTTTCTATTTCAACATATTACGAGGGTACAAATGTTAAGGTTACATATATTGCCTATGCCCCCCTCCCCCCTCGAGTCAGAACTTCAAGTGTGACCATCCCCCAAATGTTGCACATCCCACTCATTATGGTTTTATATACCCATCCCCTCCTCCCCCCTCCCACCTGCCTGACGCCCGATACATGTTATTCCTATATGTCCACTTAGGTCTTGATCCGTTAATACCAATTTGCTGATGAGTACAGGTGGTACTTTTTTTTCCATTCTTGAGATACTTCACTTAGTAGAATGGGTTCTAGCTCTAGTCAGGAAAATACAAGAGGTGTTATGTCACCATTGTTCCTTAAAGCCGAATAGTACTCCGTGGTATACATATACCACATTTTATTAATCCACTCATGTATTGATGGGTACTTGGGTTGTTTCCACAACTTTGCAATTGTGAATTATGCTGCTATAAACATTCAAGTGAAGGTGTCTTTTTGGTAGAGTGTCATTTGATCTTTTGGGTAGATGCCTAGTAGTGGAATTGCTGGATCAAATGGTAGATCTACTTGTATCACTTTAAGATATCTCCATATTGCTTTCCACAGAGGTTGAACTAGTTTGTAGTCCCACCAGCAGTGTAGGAGTGTTCCTATCTCTCTGCATCCACACCAACATTTATTGTTTGGGGACTTTTTGATAAAGTTCATTCTTACTGGAGATAAGTGATATCTCATTGCAGTTTTGATTTGCATTTCCCTGATGATTAGGGATGTTGAGCATTTTTTCATATGTTTGTTGGCCATTCTGTCTTCTTTTGAAAAATTTCTGTTCATATCCTTTGCTCACTTTTTGATAGGGTTGTTTGATTTTTCCTGGTAAAAGACCTCTACAGGGAGAAGTATGAAACACTGAAGAAGGAAATAAACAGAGGATGTAAACAGGTGGAAGAATATACCATGCTCATGGGTCAGCAGAATCAACATTGTTAAAATGTTTATACTACCCTAAGTGACCTACAGAGTTAATGCAATCCCTAATTTAAATACCATCATCATTTTTCACAGATATAGAAAAAATAAATTTATGCTTCATATGGAACCAGAGAAGACCCCAAATAGCAAAATCAATCCTAGGCAATAAACACAAAATAGGAGGTATCAATTTACCAGACTTCAAACTATACTATAAGGCTATAGTAATTAAAACAGCTTGGTGCTGGCACAAGAACAGGGGCATTGACCAGTGAAACAGAACAGAGAACCCATATATAAAACCATCCTCATAGCCAATTAATCTTCAACAAAGCAGACAAAAACATACACTGAGGAAAAGAATCCTTATTCAATCAATGGTACTGGGAAAACTGGATAGCCACATGTAGAAGACTGAAACAGGACCCACACCTTTCACCTCTCACAAAAATCAACTCACGCTGGGTAACAGACTTGAACCTTAGGTGTGAAACTATTAGAATTCTAGAGGAAAACATTGGAAATACTCTTCTAGACATTGGTCTAGGAAAAGAATTTTTGAAGAAGACCCCAAAGGCAATCACAGCAGCAACAAAAATAAATAAATGAGACCTGATCAAATTAAAAAGCTTCTGCACAGCCAACCCACAGAATGGGAGAAAATTCATAAGCTACACATTTCATAAGCTATACATCTGATAAAGGGATGATAACTAGAATTTATTTAGAACTCATGAAAAATCAAGGAAACTTGATTTAGAATTCAATTCAGAACTCAATTCTCAATTTAGAACTCAAGGAAAAATCCTTAACACTTATCTTAACAAATTGAGTTTAAAAGTGAATGTGCTTCAGCAATACAAGTTACTAGTTTACTTGGTGGGTTAATTTAAAAAAAACATTTGCTCCTAGACTTCCATTTTATGCATTTCTTTTGCCTTAGTTTTCTTGAACTGAGGCAGAAATATTTTATCTTCTTTTTTCCTCTAAGTTCAGAAATATCTGCATAAAGTACTCATGGTAAACATTTATTAATCCACTCTTTGGAACCAACTCCTTATTTTCTATTTTTTCTACCTTGTCTTCCCATCCACAGCTCCCAAAAATATAAACTCAAAATCTTTGTATTTTCTGTTGGATTCAGTATAAAAATGAATAGACTTTTTAGAAGAAAAATTCCAGGGGAATTGGGGACTGATCAAGACTGGGTTGATGATACAGCAAATGAGCCTAACAGATATTTACATAACATTCTATCCAATAACTACTGAATATACATTTTTCTCATCAGCACATGGAACATTCTCTAAAATTAATCACATCTTAAGCCACAAAACATGTGTTGACAAATTCAAAAAAATAGAAATTATACCATGTATCTTCTCAGACCATAGTGGAATAAAATTAGAAATCAACTCCCAACAGAAATACTCAATTCTACACAAAATCATAGGAATTAAACAACACACTGCTCAACAATTGTTAGTTCAAGGAGGAAATTGTGGTGGAAATCAAAAGATTCCTTAAACTAAATGTCAGAGGGAATACAAATTATCCAAATCTGTGAGATTTAGCAAAAGCGGTCCTAAGTAGATTATTCATAACCTTAAATGCCTACATCAGAAATAACTAAGATCAGAGCAGAACTAAATAAAATTGAAAACAAAAAAATAATACAGAAGATTGGTGAAAGAGTTGGTTCTTTGAAAAGATAAACAAAATTAATTGACCTCTCACTAGATCACAAATTAACCAGAAATAGAAAAGAAAGGTCCCAAATAAACTCAATCAGAAATGAAAAAGGAGATATTACAACTGATACCACAGAAATACAAAATATCATCTGTGAAAACTGTAAAAATCTCTATGCACATAAACTTAAAAATGTTGAGTTTCTCCTGTTCAGTCTTCTACTGACCATAGAATGATCTCACTCTTCCCTTGCCAATTCTGAATTTAATTCTTCTGATCACGTTTTTCAGATTAGCTTCTACTCCCTATCATGTTAATCCCTTGATGGGCTTCCTTGGGCTCTTATGTCTTTGATCCACAGTCTATTACTTATATTGAGTTTTATATGATTTGTAATGGTCCTTTATTATTTCTCACATGCATTGATCATCTTTCTTATCCAGATTATAAACTCCCTATGAGCAGAAAGCATATATTCTAGCTCTTTTGTGTACCTAGTATAGTGCTGAGCAAAGGTAGGTGCTTAGTAAATATTTGTTAATTAAATTGAATTAGCAGCTGTGCTATGAAACAAAAACTCCTGTTATCTGAATGAAAAATGTTACTATGATGTAAGAAATAGATTATCTGTTGGTAGGCTGAGTTTATTATCTTATTAGATTATAATGCAGATGAGTAAATAAAGCTAGTGTTTATTTCTACTTGGATCCTTTTTGCACTGTGTAGTAATAAGATTAAATAACTGATTTATTGTATTGTCAAATTTACAATGTAGATGATATTCCCACACTCTTGATCTACTTCATATGAATGATGAGAGATGACAAACTGTCCCCAAAGACATTCATCTCATAAAGGCAATATACTTTTAGAACAAATGTTCGTGTTATAAACATTGAAGCATGATATGCCAAGTTTCAACCTTTCTACCTTTGAAAAATATGTTGGATTTTTATAGTATCTAAATACTCACGTGACTTAACCATTATTAGAAATTTTAACCCTTTCAGTC